GTTTCAGTGAAATACCAGAAAGAGAACCGTCGATTTTGATAAACAAATGTGAAAGACGGGAGAAAATCATCTTTTGCGTCCATTTTGAGCACTTACTTTCTGTGCTCTTCTGCTATGTCACTCAGTTTTAAGTATTTATTTTGCCTGTGAAATTTCAACTGTCATATCGGTCTTTTCCTGCTCTCTTTAATCGATTTCTCGATCTATTTTTGAACAAATGGCTTGCAGCATATTGCAAGTGTTACACTGAACTGTTTGTTGAAGGACTTCTGATGTATTGTTTATACCTGTTAGAGGTGTGACTGCACATGTTCACGTTTATATGGGCTACGTCGAAAAATATGACCCTCACTTTCTAACTAAGAGAGCATATTTCAACAGAAATCCTGTCTGTTAATAAGACATTATTATTATTTTGGTGTTTTAAAGTTGTGCAAACACTGTACAGTTGATGTGAACCTCGCTCCTGTTTATAATTTGCCCAGCAATATGCTTTTTCACACAGTTGTGATATAAAGCATATGCTTTATTGTTATAAACACGGCCAATGAGATCTGATTGCCTATAGTTACTGCACACGGTTTCTCTAAGCTTGTAAATGCGATAGGTTTATTCAAAAAGCCGCAAGCTCGCTTGTGTTTGTGTGCTTTTAGAGGTTTACTCTGTGGTGAATCTCACAAAAACCTGTCAAGAACATATTTCACCTCAAGGCAGCAGAAAGAAATATATTTTTCATAAATAAAATGAAGCTTATTTACTTATTCTTTTTTGCATAACTTTGATTGCAATTAAACATTTTTCCCTAAATTATCATTATACCGTGATCACAAAAGAACTGTGTTTTTATTAGAAGAGTAAAACATCCAGATGTTTTTTCAGACTTAAAAATTATGATTATTTAAAATAATGGCAAAAGGACTTCATTTTCTTTATTCAAAAAAAAGAACAGGTTTTTCTTTCCTTTGATTTTGGACGTGAATTGTGACTCAGACTTGTTTTCGTGAGATTTGCCCTCTTAATGAGACCAAGCATTGATTTGCTGTGTATGAATCCAGTGATTTGAATTAAAGAGGAACACCTGGTTGTGCAAGAATCGATTGTGTTGCGTTTTCTCTGCCTCTCGCTCATGTTTGGCCTTTCTCTTTATCTCAGAGGTGCTATTTATAGTTGCGCTGTTTTTTCCTCTCTATCTCTGAATCTTTTTCCCTTGTGTCACTGGAGCTAGTGTATCTCCACATCACATAACTGATAAACTGATAGGGGGGCGCCAGTGCCTCTCATTTACATATTGTATCTATTACGTGGTGTACAGTAATGGCCGTGGTGCTACAGCTCTTCTCAATCTGTGAGGGCATCTGTCACTCTGCGGAGAAGATAGCTATCAGAAAGAATCAGCATGACCATGCCTGGCTGCACAGGACAAAAAAATAGAATAGAATAGGAATGATAGAATATTACAATAGAAGAGTGAGAGCTAAATGAGAATATACTCTTATTTCACCTCATTTAAGTAGTATTTTTATTCTGATATGCCAGTTGTCCTAGATTAATTCTGACACCTAGTGTTGTGGATGTATTCAGTTACCGATGCCAAATGCACTTTTTGCAATCAGCCATGATTAATTTATTCATTTATTCCATGAATGAAACTGTCCAATAGCAGATGGGTTACAGAGAAAAAGTGAGTAATATTTCATCTTAACAATAACTGTGGAACACACACTATTTATTCACTCGTACACTTATTTATCTAACACTCATACTCCGCCTACACCTCAAATTTGCACATAATATTCAGTACCTGTACATACAAAACTGTCATTTTTATTTTGAGTTTTTCCCATTATTCTCAAATGCTCTTTAGATACTCTGATGGATATATCAGATTATACTCTTGATAGATTAGAAGTATAGTCATTGTATTACATTACTGTGATACAGTGTTTTTCTATTTCATAATGGTTCTGAAAAGTGTTGTTTATTTTGTTTTTGTTAACTGAAAAGCTGAAAAATTTATCTTTTTGATGAAAACTTAAATGAAATTTTGCAAGTGCTAAAAGTACTAAAACGAATATACATGAATTGGCAATGAACATTGGTTTATTCATAAATATATTATTATGTTATTAAATATGAATATTATGAATATTTGTCATTCATTGTCCTTATACTAATGAATTGAAAATTATAGGACATTTTTAGGCTACTACAATTGTAATATCTAGTACATTTTTATTTGTGAATTGTGTATTAAATGGTTGTCATTGATAAGTGTTTCACAAATTTCAACTTTTTTGGGAAAAAGTTGAAATTTCCTCAAGATATGAATCCCTCTTTTGTGGAAAGACCAGGAGAGGGTCTGATCAGTCTATAGCTGCAGAGTATAGACAAAAAATATGATAAAATGCCAGCAGTTTGTCAGTGAAAAATAGAAAACAGAGTTCATTCTGCAAAAAATGCATACCATATATAGAGCCATATATGCTCCATCATATTCATACAATTCAAACAAGTATATTTATAATTAAATTTCGCGGGCACAAAGGCAACAAACAAAAGGTCCTTCAGAACATGTCAGAATTTCCAAATGTATCTGATATAAACATATGTAAGTGATAACTTCACACTCATTTGAAACTGACCTATGGCATGACCTTATGATATGCAATTAAACTACATGTTTAAAGGTATTTTTTTTTAAATAATGATCAAATAAATTAAACATTAAACCTAAATTGAAATATTTTTTAAAAAGCACACAACAAAAATAAATAAAATAAAGTGCAACAAACAAAAGGTCCTTCAGAACATGTCAGAATTTCCAAATGTGTCTGATATAAACATATGTAAGTGATAACTTCACACTCATTTGAAACTGACCTATGACATGACCTTATGATATGCAATTAAACTACATGTTTAAAGGTATTTTTTTTAAAATAATGATCAAATAAATTAAACATTAAACCTAAATTGAAATATTTTTTAAAAAGCACACAACAAAAAGAAATAAAATAAAGTGTGTGTGTGTGTGTGTGAATTTTTTTAAATGCAAATAAATACTATAATAAAATGCCTTCTTCATTTTTTAAATGTTATTTCTCATGTCTATCTTTTGATTTTGGGGTGAAATATGACCTGGACATGTTTTTGAAAGATTTTGTGAGTTTCATCTGAAATGTAAAGAGGTGAGAGAGAAGAGAGATGAATGGAGTTAGAAGAAGGAAGCAGGCCAGACTGTGTCAGTAGGATCACAGATGGTCATTTAGCCTCCCAAAGACCCATCGTTTCAGTAATCATTTAACACCGCAGGCCTGCCGTCCTCTACCACACAGTTTTGCCTCTTCTGCTCTGACCCTCGCGCCATGTGTTTGTGTCGCCCATACTGCGCCCATGTACTCACCCACCAATCACCTCCACAGCTCCATCAAGGCTGATTAACAACCTGTGTCGGTCGGCTACATCTGGTGTACACGTTCCTCACGGTGCAGAGCTGTTTCGAGCTGCTCTGCGCTCTGTTGGTTAGGATTGCATACCCGTGTGCTATTTGTGCCAAGCTTTGAGCAGTGCCGTGTAGATTCACTGACTCGCTGCTTGATTCATGTTGACACCCTTACTGTCATTTCCTATCTCTGCCAAAGTGGCTCTCTCCGCTCTCCCTGCACTGTCCTCCCCTCACCAGACTTACATAAGTCCCGCGCTTTACACAGTGTCCTAACTAGACATGACGAGTTTCCAGTGACAAGTAATGTCTCTGTTCGCACTTAGTGAAAATGCAGCAAAATCACATATTTCATGTTTAATAGCTGCTTGCGCTCACCACAGATTAACTGTCCTTACTTTAAATCATGCTCTTGGTCATTTTGTGAATGACTCATAGGTGCACATTATTCCAAACAAAGCAAATATTTGTCTTTGCAATTTTTCATAAAAATGTAAATAACTTTCTCCGCCTCTTAAACAACTTTCCTATTTGACTGGCATCATCAGTCCCTTTTGTTTTTAGCCCCGCCCCTCCAACTACTTCTTATATAGAGACACTTTACACTATCCAATCAATTTCCTATCCGTAAAATGGTAACACTTTACAATAACTTCCTATTAGTTACCATTAGCGAATGCATTAACTAACATTAAGAGAATAATTCACTCGGTTTCAGGACAATGTAATCGCCTTCAGGAAAAGATTTGGAGAAATGTAGCATTCCATCACTTGCTCAGCAATGGATCCGCTGCAGTGAATGGGTGCCGTCAGAATGAGAGTCCAAACAGCTGATAAAAACATCACAATAATCCACAAGTGATCCACACCACTGCAGTCCAGTCCATTAATTTTGTAAGAAACAAAGCATCAAGATGTTTTTAACTTCAAACCGTTGCTTCCAGCTAAAATACAAGTCCTCTATCCATAAAATTGTTTTCTCCAGTGAAAAATTTCAGACACAGACAGTTCTAAACAAATATGTGGGTGGATTGTGATGTGAGGACAACAGGAGATTAACTTTTTTCACTGGAAGAAGTGTTCTAATAGATTATGTACCTATATTTTGGCTAGATGTGATGGTTTAGTGATGGAATGATGGATTTATTTCTTACAAATGTGCAGCTTTTCATTTCACAAGACGTTAACTGATGGACTGGAGTGCTGTGGATTACTTGTGGATTATTGTGATGTTTTTATCAGCTGTTTGGACTCTCATTCTGACGGCACCCATTCACTGCAGAGGATCCATTGGTGAGCAAATGATGTAATGCTACATTTCTCCAAATCTGTTCAGATGAAGAAACAAACTCATCTACATCCTAGATGAACATTTTCAGCATACTTTCATTTTTGGGTGATCTATTCCTTTAAGTTATAATAACAGACAGTTTTGATTTGATGTATTACTAAATATTGAAATGAATACATGATTTAGAAGTATTTTTCATTGTTAGTTCATGTTAAATAACATAGTTAAGTAATGTTAACAAACGAGACCTTCACGAGTTTGTGCGGCCATATAATCTTGGCATACGTGGTAAGCGATTGCTGTGCATATGGAGGGGCTCAGGGAGGATGTTCTACTGGAGCTCCAATTTGCCTACTGATGATTACACAGGTAAAATACATAAAGGAGGAGAAGGGGAGGAGGAGGGATGGGAACCAATGCTGGGAAGAAGTAGAGGCCGCTTTTATGTCCTGCTAATAATTAGAAGATTAGATGGGCGTAGTCCTCCCGAACGTACGTTTAATAACTTAATAACTACAAACTGTTGTAAAGTGCCACCGCTAAACTCAAGTCCAAGTTTTTTTTCCGTGTTTGCATATCCTGTATCATCTGGAAATTTGCAAAAATCCATGTTGAGGCGCTTACTTGATTCCCTGATTAAGACGTGTTAATCAGAATCTCATAAAGATCATGTCATGAATAAAAAAATACAACTATGTCGAGCAAGATTTTGGACGAGTGCGACTGATCGCTTGTCAGTTTGTCTGGTTAATACAAGAACTTAACATGGAAGAGGAAAGAATCAGCTGGCACTTCATTCTTTCACACATTGTGATCATATGGTGCAAATAGCAAACCACAATAACTCAACAATATATATATATATATTTCAGTATACAGACAAAATCATAAAGAGCAGCAAGAACAATCTGTGACTATATCATAATTGACAGCAAAACTTTTGAATGTGAGATTTGATAGTGATGTTCTGTCTACCGCAGAACTTTTAGCTCCACATACTCACACAGACACAGAGAGGAAGCGGAATGATTTTTCTCTGCACCTGAAGGCCGCTGGGGAGGAGCAGGAAGCTTGTTTGATACCAGCAGTCTGACATAAAGTGCACTGTAGGTCATCAGGAGCTGCTGAGCAATCGCCTGAAGAAAACAGTCACACATTTTTCACTTGAACTGTTACAAGATTCAACCTAAGACTCTGCCAAACCTGCAGATGACCTGCCTGATTTATCCCATTCATTTTTTCTATAATGACAATTGTTGGATTGGTGAACGAAAATATTATTATGCATCCTTAATTATCAAGGATTTTTGAATATATTAGAAAAAATATGGTAAGCTACTGTAATCTTCTATTGATACCATGTGTTGTATTTGATCCATTTTAATTTTCTGCCTAATTTTAATCAGCTTTCATGTAAAATTGTCATTCAAACCACCACTGACTGATTTGTATATTATTTATATTAATAATTGTTTTGTTCACCTGATTTGAGAGAGTGGTGTCGGGCATCAAGCTGAAGTTTTTGGTGAGTTTAGAGTCTTCTCGTTGACTAGTTGATGCGCTTCGCTCTCGTCCCCCCACCAGCAGCGGCTGCTCTTCTTCTGGAAGCTCCTCGTCCTGTGCTCCAGCCTCGGGATCCAGGGTCGTGACCTCGGTCACTAGAACTAGGTGGGACATTCTTTTCTTGAGTTTGTTCTGCAGAGTAAAACGGGAACTTTGTGACAGTATTTCATTCTCACGCAGTGTTATTTTAGTATCACTGAGATACTATTATAGTTCTATTCATATTTTTAAATTAATTTTAGTTACAGTTTTGATCATTTTGTTGTGTGTTGTGCATCATTTTTATTAGTTATTGTTTTAAATATGTTTACATATGTTCTATTCATTTTATTTCTGTTTTGGTTATTTTAGTACATCAAGTAAAACTAAATGAAAGTGAGAAATTATGCCTGGCTGAAATCAAATAAGTTTACTTTTTATAATATTTGACTTTTTTTTATTTTTTTTTTCTGCGCTCTACAGTTGTTTGATGTACCACTATTTTTGTAGTACAAAACATTTTCTGTGGCGCCCTGAAGCATCAACATAAGAACAAATCAATGAACAACCTGTACTTGATCCCTGACAAAACTCATGTCGTCCAGCACTTCAGTCAGAGATGTCAGACATGGGGACAAGTCCCAGTATACACAGAAGAGCTGCAGACATAAATAAAGATCAAGAAGAAGAGCAGTTAAACAAGTCTGTTCATGGCTCTAAACATGATCAGTTCCATCAGATAGACTACAGAAGAAAAACATCAAGATAAGAGTGTGACTCAGGAAGGCATTCAGTTATCTGATTAGACACAATCTCTTTTACTCTCATACCACTAAACCAGTAACCGTTTCTCTCGACTTTCTGCCAAAGAAATTCTTGCTTACAAATTCAGAAATCTTATTTACGATGTGATATGCATGCAAACCACTTTGGTCAAAATAGACTAATTCATTTGAAGTTCATCATTTCACTCCCAAACAAAAACAGGAAGATTTTTTAGCAATAATGCAAGAAAAATAATGTGTGTAGCTGATGCTTCATATGTGTATTTTAAAGGGATAGTTCACACAGAAATGAAAATTCTGTCTTCATTTACCTTAATGTCGTTCCAAACCTGTTTGACTTTATGTATTCCCTTGAACACCAAAGTTGATATTTTGAAGAATGTTGATATCCAACATGAACAATTTTGGTGAACGATGACTTTGTATGGACAAAAATAACACCGAGACGTTATGCAAAAGAAAGAGCGTCAAACAGGTTTGGAACGGCATGAGGGCAGAGGTGTAAAGAGAACCTGAAAACTCAACTTGAGGAAAAGTACAGGTACCTTACAGTGAAAATGACTCCACTACAAGTTACAAGTCACCAATTTCAAAACAACTTGAGTATCTGATTTTAACAGTACTGAAGTGTTTTACTTATACTAAATATAGACTCAAAGATGCACTTGTCAAAGAGTGAAAAACAAGAAAGGATTGATTTGTGAGAAGAGCAATCACATTTATTTTCAAAAACCAAAATAAAACTGAACACCTCAAAAATTGCAAAAAAAAAAACAACAAAAAAATATCCTTCAAAAAGGTCTCTTCAGTATAACGGATAAATAAAATAATGTAACAGGGTTGTTTTGTTTTTTTTGACTTAATTTATTTATTGAATTAAATAACAGGAGAAGAATACAGGAGAAGAATGAAAATGGTTTCGGCCTCATTGCCGTTTTGAACTTGCATTCACATAAAGCAGCCTTGTTGACAAGTTTGGGTGAGTAAGGGCAAAGCGCACAAGATATAGTACTTTCAGTGCCCTGTAGTTGGTGATATCACTTCCTTTGTAGCACAAACAAACCGTTGCAGAAAAAGCTAGATCCATGCAAAATGTAATGTGTGATTGCAACACTCATTACAAATGTACTGGAGTAAAGAGTACAGATGCTTATTCAAAAATGTAGTGAAGTAGAGAGTAAAAGTTGCTAATATCTTATAATATCTATTTGGTAAAACTACAGAGTATCCAAAAAGATACTCAAGTACAGTAATTAATTACATTTACTCAAATACTTTACACCTCTGCATGAGGGTGAGTAAGAAATTATGACAGTGTTCATATTTGGGTGAAATATCCAAAGAGAAAGGAAAAATTGAAATCTCATCATATGACCCCTTTAAATTTCTCATGCAGCCACAGAGGATGATGGGAAATGTTGTTTTGTGAGTAAGACACCACATATTTTCTGGCAAGCTTTATCACACAAAATTATGCACAAAGTACATCGCACAATCAACGCTGATGATCAATACCTGCCATAAAACTTAAATTGACTCCTTACCCAATTCAAAAAGGCCTAAAGAATGATGATCGTGCTGACAAGACTTGCAGGCGGCATGAGTCGAGATACGGCATGCAGTAAGCACGCATTATAGTGCAGAAGTCATTACCTGCAGATTTCCTCTGCATTTCTGGACCCAGTCAGCCACCCCACACAGCAGCTTGTGCCTGACCATGTGCTCATTAACCCCCACCAACCGCACGTCTGTGTTCATGTTGATCTGAAACAGATGCACCTGTTAATCTTAGCTACATTCAAATCTGCATTAAAAGGGAATACGGGTTCATTTTTACTAGAAAGAGACAGTGACAGCCCACCTCTTTGTTGCTGTAGTGGAAGATGAGGTTGATGGCGGCGGTGAGGATCACGGACACCAGACTGACACACAGGCAGAGCACCCAGAAGTCCGTTGAGCTGCCATGGAGGTGCATGTGAATGGTCGAGTACACAGTGCACCACAGCACCAGATACAAGAGCTGCAACAAACACGTAACAAGCAAAACAGTCCTGTGTTTCCTGCAGTCATCTGATCCTCCAAATTCCTGCCTGCTTATTTCTGCTATCTACTGAACTGGAAGTGCTTTGTGCAAAATAGTGAAAGGTGGTCATATGGTCATAATGTCAAGCCGGTGAAGAACTTGATTTCTGAATCCAATTGCACTATTTTATAGTTTTCTTGTACAGTTGAATAGTTAGTTAACTATCAATACTTAACCACAAATTAAGAATTCATTCAAATGACTTTTTATTTAAATTGTGACCATATTTGCTTCATTACTTTTTTTTTAAGATTTATTTTTGGCATTTTATTAGGATAGGACAGTATTGTAGACGGGAAGCAAAGTGGGAAAGAGAGAGGGGGGCCGGGATCAGGAAAGATCCGCAAGCTCGGACTAAAAATAAAAAATGTACAAATCTTATATTCGTTACCATACAGCTTCTGAACATTTTACATTTTTAGTAATTACCATTATATTTATTGGTGGTTCTCATCAGTTTCTTATTATTACAATGCAGTATTTTTTACGGTATTACAGTAAAGATATTATTATAAAGGCCTGTTTACACCAAGGACAATAGCTTAAAACAGTAAGGATAAATATAAGGTTTTAATAATCAAGAATATGGAAATTCATACCACAACTATAATGATAACAACACAGTCGACTTATCTTTTTAGTTATCGTTCTTGGTGTGAACGGCCATTAATACATTTTTTATTTAAATCAGCCTAAATTAAAGGCACACCAGCAATACTACAATGATTTAAATAAATACAACTTAATAAACATTTAAATAATTTACTTTTTTTTATTTACCATTTAATATATATTTGCTTTAATTAGTGAAAGTGAGATTTTTTATTTTTTTACAATACAGTAATGAAAATCGTAATGGTTCTAATAAAGTAAGTTCTAATAAGTAAAAAAAAAATTAAGAGTCTTGTCTTAACACTCGTCTTTCTTTTGATTTTGGATTGAAATATGACCTGGGCATACACATAACAGGTTCTATGAGTTTCCCAGAGTCCTATTGGCTTTGCTCAGTGCTGGAATGTGTGAACAACTGTGTTTAACAGTGTGTTTCTTACTGGGGCCATGATGACATTAAAAATGCTTGAGTTGAAAAGCAGGTATCTTCTGATGGACGGGTGGTCCAGCGCTAAATGAAGTGGACCCTCAAAGTCTTCTGCTGGAATCTGAAATAGATTTAACATCAAAATACAACATGGAAGTAAGAAGTTGAATAATTGAGAAATGTGTAGAAATCATTGGATGCTGGATATAGACTAGCCTGGAAGCCTTTGGTTTCCAGAAGGGTCCTGCAATGTGAGAAGTCAAAGGTGGGAGTGAACCAAGTGGATGTGGCCACAGACGCCACACACTGACCTGACAGAAAGACACCAGCTGAGGTCAATAAACAATTTAAAACTGAAATCTCATCTTTAATAGCTGGTGTCTCTTGTTGTCAGGGAGAATTTGAGCAAGATTAAGCCTATTAAGAATAAAAAATGAAAGTAATGCATTTGAAAGAAGGAAAGTGGATTATTTTCCATTCCTGTGGCCTTCTGCAGTTTGACATCTTATGAAAGACTCATCTGAGCAGTGCAAGCATTTAATTCAGGACGGTAAAAATCACACTGCAGTCACATTCCCACTCAGTGTTTGATGATTTTGGTTAGCTGGTTTGATATTCGCTTCGTCCACGGTGAAAGCCGATCCAGCGATCCACAGCGCAAAGTTGTAGTATTTCCTCAGCGACCAGCACAGATCAGCTCCAGGCATGACGAAGCAGATATCGTGCTCTTTTGGAAGACCAAACAAAGTAGTTTCGCTTTCACAACGAAACACAGCGCCTTCACGACATGGCAGCGGCGGCAACAATACTACAGCGAGACTAAAAATTACGCCTTCTTTCTTTGCGTGATCATTTGGGCGGCATTATGCAAATCTTCCCACATAGTGAGGTAGACATGTGGGGGCGTGTTAGAACGAGCCGTTTTAGGTAGGCGTGGTTAACTCTTAACTTTTATAAAGAATATCTCTTTGGATTTGAGACTTTAGTCTTAGCAACTTTACAGATCTTCTTTATGCACCAAGAGCTTGTAACACTCCAAAGAGAAAGGAAAAATTGAAATCTCATCATATGACCCCTTTAAATTTCTCATGCAGCCACAGAGGATGATGGGAAATGTTGTTTTGTGAGTAAGACACCACATATTTTCTGGCAAGCTTTATCACACAAAATTATGCACAAAGTACATCGCACAATCAACGCTGATGATCAATACCTGCCATAAAACTTAAATTGACTCCTTACCCAATTCAAAAAGGCCTAAAGAATGATGATCGTGCTGACAAGACTTGCAGGCGGCATGAGTCGAGATACGGCATGCAGTAAGCACGCATTATAGTGCAGAAGTCATTACCTGCAGATTTCCTCTGCATTTCTGGACCCAGTCAGCCACCCCACACAGCAGCTTGTGCCTGACCATGTGCTCATTAACCCCCACCAACCGCACGTCTGTGTTCATGTTGATCTGAAACAGATGCACCTGTTAATCTTAGCTACATTCAAATCTGCATTAAAAGGGAATACGGGTTCATTTTTACTAGAAAGAGACAGTGACAGCCCACCTCTTTGTTGCTGTAGTGGAAGATGAGGTTGATGGCGGCGGTGAGGATCACGGACACCAGACTGACACACAGGCAGAGCACCCAGAAGTCCGTTGAGCTGCCATGGAGGTGCATGTGAATGGTCGAGTACACAGTGCACCACAGCACCAGATACAAGAGCTGCAACAAACACGTAACAAGCAAAACAGTCCTGTGTTTCCTGCAGTCATCTGATCCTCCAAATTCCTGCCTGCTTATTTCTGCTATCTACTGAACTGGAAGTGCTTTGTGCAAAATAGTGAAAGGTGGTCATATGGTCATAATGTCAAGCCGGTGAAGAACTTGATTTCTGAATCCAATTGCACTATTTTATAGTTTTCTTGTACAGTTGAATAGTTAGTTAACTATCAATACTTAACCACAAATTAAGAATTCATTCAAATGACTTCTTATTTGGTTCCCTCTTTTTATTTAAATTGTGACCATATTTGACCATTACTTTTTTTTAAGATTTATTTTTGGCATTTTATTAGGATAGGACAGTATTGTAGACGGGAAGCAAAGTGGGAAAGAGAGAGGGGGGCCGGGATCAGGAAAGATCCGCAAGCTCGGACTAAAAATAAAAAATGTACAAATCTTATATTCGTTACCATACAGCTTCTGAACATTTTACATTTTTAGTAATTACCATTATATTTATTGGTGGTTCTCATCAGTTTCTTATTATTACAATGCAGTATTTTTTACGGTATTACAGTAAAGATATTATTATAAAGGCCTGTTTACACCAAGGACAATAGCTTAAAACAGTAAGGATAAATATAAGGTTTTAATAATCAAGAATATGGAAATTCATACCACAACTATAATGATAACAACACAGTCGACTTATCTTTTTAGTTATCGTTCTTGGTGTGAACGGCCATTAATACATTTTTTATTTAAATCAGCCTAAATTAAAGGCACACCAGCAATACTACAATGATTTAAATAAATACAACTTAATAAACATTTAAATAATTTACTTTTTTTTATTTACCATTTAATATATATTTGCTTTAATTAGTGAAAGTGAGATTTTTTATTTTTTTACAATACAGTAATGAAAATCGTAATGGTTCTAATAAAGTAAGTTCTAATAAGTAAAAAAAAAATTAAGAGTCTTGTCTTAACACTCGTCTTTCTTTTGATTTTGGATTGAAATATGACCTGGGCATACACATAACAGGTTCTATGAGTTTCCCAGAGTCCTATTGGCTTTGCTCAGTGCTGGAATGTGTGAACAACTGTGTTTAACAGTGTGTTTCTTACTGGGGCCATGATGACATTAAAAATGCTTGAGTTGAAAAGCAGGTATCTTCTGATGGACGGGTGGTCCAGCGCTAAATGAAGTGGACCCTCAAAGTCTTCTGCTGGAATCTGAAATAGATTTAACATCAAAATACAACATGGAAGTAAGAAGTTGAATAATTGAGAAATGTGTAGAAATCATTGGATGCTGGATATAGACTAGCCTGGAAGCCTTTGGTTTCCAGAAGGGTCCTGCAATGTGAGAAGTCAAAGGTGGGAGTGAACCAAGTGGATGTGGCCACAGACGCCACACACTGACCTGACAGAAAGACACCAGCTGAGGTCAATAAACAATTTAAAACTGAAATCTCATCTTTAATAGCTGGTGTCTCTTGTTGTCAGGGAGAATTTGAGCAAGATTAAGCCTATTAAGAATAAAAAATGAAAGTAATGCATTTGAAAGAAGGAAAGTGGATTATTTTCCATTCCTGTGGCCTTCTGCAGTTTGACATCTTATGAAAGACTCATCTGAGCAGTGCAAGCATTTAATTCAGGACGGTAAAAATCACACTGCAGTCACATTCCCACTCAGTGTTTGATGATTTTGGTTAGCTGGTTTGATATTAATACTGAAAGAGGACAGGCATAGAGAGAAACGGGGCAACACGTACCATTCCTCCATGTGGACGCTGTGCTTGGTTCTCCTGCCGTGACTGACTGTCCTGTGGGGGATTCAACATCACCTCTTTCCTCTCCATTACACTGCCGCTCCCTCTCCTCCATGGTGTCAGAACCTGCTGGAAAACACACACACCAAACACTGTCACTGCAACTGCAATTTAAGTTGCCTATAAAAGAAAAATATGATCACACAAGTGCTGTCAAACAATTAATCATTCAAAATAAAAGGTTTTGTTTACATAGTATATACTGTATGTGTGTACTGTGTATATTTATTATGTATATATAAATACACACACATGCATGTATATATTTAATAAAAATTTTACGTTTATGTATTAAATATGTAAGGGATAATGTACATCCAGCCGGTTGTCATCTCAGAATAAACCCCGACAGGGTTATCAGGTATTATTGTATCAACCTGAAGGGGTTTATTCTGAGATAATAACTGGCTAGATGTACATTATCCCGCTTATTACATGGCTAAAAAGATTTGTTTTGACCATATATGTTGAAATTAATGCTGAAGTCTTCCATTGTAACACGCGGTGGTTAAGTGTTTTCAATCACAAGATGGCGCCACAAGAGTGACTCGTTAAGCATATAAGTAGTACCAGTCAAGATAACTCGTGGTACCCGGATGAGCGGTGTGTTATTCAATTTGGTGGTTGTTATCTGGGAATAACATACCGCTGGATTGACCAATCAGAATCAAGTATTCCACAGAGCCGTGTAATAAATTTATATATAATATAAATTATATGAATATAAATATATACATGTAAATATTTTCAAAACATGCTGTATGTGTGTGTCTTTATATATACATAATAAATATAAACAGTACACACACATATGTAAACACAAACTTATTTTGGATGCGATTAATCGCGATTAATCGTTTGACGGCACTAATATATATATATAAAACTGTAGCGTTTGATGTATGAAAGTGCTTCTGAAGTGGAGATTTCTAGCTCAGTGCATGAGAATTTTATTTTGAGAAAACGCCTTATGTATGTATTGTAATTGAAATCTACAGAAGCAAATAGATAAAGTCTAATTAAATAAAAACTTAAATGTGTATTTTGGATGTTTTCTTTCTACTAGCCTTAAATAAGATATGCTATGGAAGCAAAATAGCCCTCAAAAAATATGGGAAAAAAACAACAACAACTACATGTTAGGCAGGAAAAAAGGTTTCATGGCCACACATTAAGAATATGTTTCCACAACTTATTAAATAGTTTCCTCGTTTTAGTTAAATCATGGCCAAGTTTGATTCATTTGTTACTTTGTTTAAGGTACATGATGGCCGCATTGGTTTCTCATTTTAATTTAGTTATCATTTATCCATTAGTAATCATTTCAGCCATACTGTGACGTACATCCCGAGTATAACAGAATATCGAAAAAAGTAAAAAATTAGGGCGGGGGGCAGGACTTATTCTGTGCATTAGTTGTTAATTGGATGTTGAGATGTTGGCGTGTTACTCGAAAGTGTAAGCAGATGAACGTGAGGCGGGTTTAAATGAACTAAATAATTGGAGAAATCCTGCATACGTCTGTTATTTCACTAGAAGATCCAGTTTTGACATTTTAATTAAAAATGATGAGGTAATGAATCACAATAAGATCTATAACATGGATTTTAGGAAAAATATTTTCATTTCATGCCGACTTCAATTTACGGCCACAATATATTGCCTCAACAAGCACAACAAACTAATGATGTCTAGGAAGGTCAAGACATAATGTAATATGTATAATGTAAGAAAAGCACAATTCTTTATATAAATCCATAATTCTAAATAGCAGTCAAATGAGATCTCACACTCAGAAAGGAAACTCAAACGAAGGGTTCAAACTTCAAAATGTCAATGACGATGGCAAACCTTTGGTCAGGGCTCAGTTTGTCTCACTTTTGGCACGTTGCACTGCCTGTTTAAGGACAGGAAACACCAATCTTGCAGTCAGCTTCTCTTTTTAGAGTTTCGTGTACAAGAAAGAGAGGAAGATGTTAGGTTTCTCAACAATAAAGAAAATAATATTTTTTTCAAAATTCTGTATGTTCTACTGAGTTATTGTAAGTGGCTGCAAGCAGTGTTGTTACATAATATGCATCATTATAGAGAAAGTGCTTCAGAGAGCTGTTAATGTTTTACCGCTGTGACCCGGGGAACTCAAATCTTGATGCTTTTACAGCAATTTCAACAAACCTGTAAGACACGATAGCATTCACAGCTGACTCCACTGCAGCCTGCAAGCTGAAGAAAATGATAGACACAGATATTATACAGCATGTGTCTATGAAAATGATCCCTCCATCTCATTCTCACTCACCTTTGCTAGTTTTTGAATACAGCAAACATGCTTAACTGCTGAAGAACAGAGTGTGAATGTGACAGCAAATCCATCTCTTCTTTTCTCTCATTGTGTCTGCCTCAGCTTCTTCACAGTCATGCCTGCTGTTGCCACAACCTTCGCTCTTTTTTACTTGTTAGGCTCCTCCCAGTTTTAACTCTCATTTATTTATCTCTTCATATTTGTTTTGTCTTTCTCTCATTTTTCCCCCCCATCAGGCTCCTCTCGTGGTCTCGTAAGATCTTTCTCTTTCACTCTGTGAGTGTTTCTTTCTCCTTTACATGAATGCAAAACTAATTGTAAACCCTCCCCCTTGTGCTCTTCCTCTATCTCTTTATTTTGTGTCGTTTCTTTTTCTCTCTCAGCTTGTGACTCAGCTCAGTATGAGCACATGACTGCAGGAATGTACACACAATTTCACAGACCCATGGCGAAAAGTGTGGGTCTGGGCTTGAATGTGTGTGAGCCTAGGAAAGAGAAAGAGACAGGAGATGATAGTGTTGTGGTTTTTCTACGTGTATTTGCCAAAACTGGTGCTGGTCATTGAGTTTGTAGAAAATAAACAAAACAGGTTTTGAGTCAAAAGTCCAACTGCACTGTTCTCTAGCAGTGGCTTAGTATGCGATACTTTATTTTCAACTTTTTGATTATTTCCTTAATTTTAATGAAAATAAATGCCTTTACGATGTGATACGAGATTTGAAAAGGGAGAAAAAAAAAGTTCGGCAAAAGGTGGGATCGACCCCGGGTCAATCGCGTCAAAAAGCCAACGACACGCGCTTATCCATCTGCACCACTGGAGCTGATATTTTACAGCCACTTTTAACTAAATGTAAATAGACACCCCGTATTTTTTATTCCAGAGTAAGGGCAATTCATACAATACATTTAAACTGAGCTACTTTACTACCATCTCCAAACTTTCTACCACGACTCTGCTGTTCTTCGGCTGGTTCTTCTCTGTATACGTTGATTGACAGATGTCTCGTCCAGTCAGCGGTGAGTAATCCCAAACTATACCAACCTCTTCCGGTTTGTCTGATTTGTCGTTGTGTTTTCTGACTTGTTCATTTGTTTTCTGAATTGTTATTTTGTTTTTTAGACTTGCATTTGCGTTTGTAATTTGTTATTTTGTTTTCAGAATTGTGATTTGTTTTGCACTTCTCGGCCACCGTAAAGAACACTTGGCCCATAGCATACAATTAACAAACTGAATCCATCTTGCAGGTACGAAACGACGTTGATGTAGAAATGATTTGGTTGAGGTGTGTCTGATAGCACTGGACTTAGTTTAGACTCCCAAATGCCTTATAAACAATTTCCCACATTTTAACGGCTTTTCTATTAGGAGAAATCAAATGTATGTAAACATTGTTACGTAAAAGATATATATATATATAAAACATATGCCTATTACAAACATCATATAGGCTATTGTGTATGGAAAAAATGAAAATATTTGTAGTTTATAGTTCATAAAATGTAACCAAAAATAACGATTAATCGAGTCTATAAAGATCGTACCCTCACATTTAAAAAAAATTTGTTTTTAAATAAAATGTCTATTGCGCATGTTTCCCACTTCCGGTCTGGCATGTGACTCTGACGCCTCGCGGCGGTCATGTGACTCTCCGGTTAAAGATGCGAGTCGGCTGTTGTGGCCGTGTAGATACTTCAGGATTCACGAGTCTTATTAAAGGAAATATATACCGTAATCAAGAAATTCTTCTTATCTGCGTATCGCAGTCATATGTGCACTGTTGTCGCCGTCTTTATTGTTTCGATGGATTTTGTTCGACAGTTCGGAATTGTGCTTTTAATCGCGGTGTTTTCCGGCGCTCGTGCAGACGAGCTTCAGGTAAATACAGGACCTCTCGCATGATTCTGTGCTCAAACTGGCCTTTTAGTGCTCTTAAATATATGCTGGTAATTTGTTTGACTGTAGCATGTATATGCAGAATAAAGTGTGTAGCTGAACTAAATTTACATGATGCAGTGATGCATGACTTTGAGCACTATGTGGTTTTGTTTATAAAACATCTTTATATTTATAATATAGATTATATATGAATATAAATATTGTATTATGCATGTACACATTATGTATGTTTGTGTATATATACATAATAAATATACACAATACACATTATTGTAAACAAAAACACTTATTTTGGATGCGATTAATCGCGATTAATTGTTCGACAGCACTAGTTTATATATATATATTTTTTGTTTATAAACATTTTAGTTACAAGTGTGTAGCTGAACTAAATTTACATGATGCAGTGATGCATGACTTTGAGCACTATGTGGTTTTGTTTATAAAACATCTTTATATTTATAATATAGATTATATATGAATATAAATATTGTATTATGCATGTACACATTATGTATGTTTGTGTATATATACATAATAAATATACACAATACACATTATTGTAAACAAAAACACTTATTTTGGATGCGATTAATCGCGATTAATCGTTCGACAGCACTAGTTTATATATATATATTTTTTGTTTATAAACATTTTAGTTACTGAAAAATGCTTGGCCACACTTTATATTAAGTGGCCTTAACTACTATATACTTACATCAAAAATGAAGTACAATGTACTTATTGTGTTCATATTGTATTGTAAAACACTTGCTGCTATTGCGGTGGGATACGGGTGAGGTTCGGGCAGGTTTGGTGGTATGGGTAGGTTTAAGGGTGGGTTAAGGTGTAAAGGATGGGTCAACTGTGTAATTATACATGTAATTAAATAAATGAATTACAGATGTAATTACATGCAGGTATTTTTAAAATATAAGTACAATGTAAAAACATGTATGTACACAATAAGTGCATTGTACCAACTTATTAATTTAAATGTAAGTACATAGTTGTTAAGGCCACTTAATCTAAAGTGGGTCCAAATGCTTTTGGTTATAGAATAATTAGCAATGATAAAATATGTTGACAACAAGGTTATTGTTTTGTCTTGTGATTGTCATATGAAAGAAATTTTAAAGATCAATCCTAAATCACTTCTTTATGCCTTGTTTTATTGTTGTAATTCTCCACGTTTCCCACAGATTGACCCACTGATATACGAGGAGCAGTTGCTATGGGTCGGCGGTGGAGCCGGTCAGGTCAACACTTACAGGATCCCTCTGCTAACCTTCACGCTGCGAGGAAGTCTGCTGGCGTTCTCTGAGGCCAGGAAAATGTCCTCCAGTGACACTGGCGCGAAGTTCATCGCACTGAGACGCTCCACAGACAAAGGTGGACCATCCACTTTCACTACAGTCATAAATGGCTATTTTCGATGAAACCGAATTGTAATCTCTTTCGTGAATCTCTCAGGAGTCACCTGGTCTCCCACCTCATTCATAGTGGACGATGGTTCTCTAGCAGATGGGTTGACAACAGGCAGCCCTGTAGGATAAACACCACAGCTAAATCCTCAGAGCTAAACACCGTATCACTCTTATTTATAATGATATATGGGACATATAACAGTTTTGTTCCAAACTGGTGTGTCCAAGTTAAAACCTAAATAAAAGGAGGCACATAATGTTTGAAATAAAAAGAAAAACTAGTATAGACAAGATTAGTGACACCTTGAGAATGCAAACTGCTTAATTCTTAAATGGTGAATGCATTTCCAAAAATGTGCAACTTTGATGCTTCTTTCTTTGCTCAAGGGTCAAAACATTCTCAGTTTTTTGTTGTTGTTGAGAAAATCAAGGTATCAGCCTGATGAAAAATCATTTTCGTTACATTAAATCTGGTCTATACTATGAATGGTTTTTATATGAATTTCACTCCGGAAAAATATTGAGGCATCCTGCTTCAGTGCGAGATTGATTTATACAGCAATATATTATAAAACAGCTATGATTGTACCCACTGTTTTTTATTTGGCAGTGCACAAAACTTTTTATAATATGTGTCTTGAAGTTCTCATAATTGCTTTGTGCAGATGGTGAGCTGCACGTGGGTTGCACATGTGTTTATTGGGGCTATTTGATGGCTTTTTGTTTACAATAATGTAACTCAGGTGAATCTTTATGAAGCTACAACATTCTTAAAATGGTTGTTGTCTACTGTATAACAGTGGATTGAATTATTGTTTTGAATACAGAAATGCGATTTCATTTTAATTACCTTGAGGTGTTTCTTTTATCCCCGGTGTTGCTTAAATGAATGAAGGCCTTTGAGATGACTCGCTCACATAAACTGGAAGACACAAGGCAGCAATATATTATAAAACAGCTATGATTGTACCCACTGTTTTTTACCTGGCAGTGCACAAAACTTTCTATAATATGTGTCTTGAAGTTCTCATAATTGCTTTGTGCAGATGGTGAGCTGCACGTGGGTTGCACATGTGTTTATTGGGGCTATTTGATGGCTTTTTGTTTACAATAATGTAACTCAGGTGAATCTTTATGAAGCTACAACATTCTTAAAATGGTTGTTGTCTACTGTATAACAGTGGATTGAATTAAGTCTTGAATTATTGTTTTGAATACAGAAATGTGATTTCATTTTAATTACCTTGAGGTGTTTCTTTTATCCCCGGTGTTGCTTAAATGAATGAAGGCCTTTGAGATGACTCGCTCACATAAACTGGAAGACACAAGTGTTTGAGACACATAGACACTCTAAGCAAGCAGTGTTCATGTTCTCCACATTATACTACTGTGATATCAGAAAACCCCATTTTATATTCTGAACAAGTGTCATTCATGTGCTTCAGGTTATGTGGTTTTGTTTACCCAGTCTGGCCTTTTTGTGGCCATAGATGTACATTTAGATACCAGACAAATCATTTTGGTAACATCGTACTGTAAGTGACTTTTAAATAGTACATGCAAGTTTGTGTTGAAAGTCAACCGAAAGGCTATCACTGTATTAAATTTCATATAAACACATTTGACTTTTCACTTGATTTGCTGGATTACACAGGGACACATTTTATTGTTCAATAAGTTGTTCTATTTTGATACAGCAGCTCCTTGTTGTACTGTAAGTGACTTTTAAATAGTACATGCAAGTTTGTGTTGAACGTCAACCGAAAGGCTATCACTGTATTAAATTTCATATAAACACATTTGACTTTTCACTTGATTTGCTGGATTACACAGGGACACATTTTATTGTTCAATAAGTTGTTCTATTTTGATACAGCAGCTCCTTGTTTCTTTTAGTTCCAATCATAACCAAGACAAATAAGAATACCTGACATTATATTTGAGTAGGGCAGCATTTGCACTTTTAAATTAGTCAGAGATGATCGCTATTCGCTAGAAAGTCTTAGAACAAATGTACCATATTTAATTAGATGGTACATCACTCCCTCCACCTGTCCTCACACCATAACTCAATAATTCATAGAGACTAAAACATCACACTTAAAAACAGAAAAATACACGGGCTCAAAAGCATTTATTTGATCAAACATGCAGTAAAACGAATAATGTGAAAAATGACCATTTACAATAACTTCTTTTTGAATATGATTTAAAATTTAATTTATGATGCAAAGCAGAATGATTCAGAAATCATTCTAATATGCTGATTTGCTGCTCAAGAAACATTTCTGATTATCAGATTGTTGAAACATGCTGCATAACATTTTTGTGGAAACCAAGATGAATGTTTTTGCACGGAGTCAATCTAAATCTTCACTTATAGGAAGTCAGAATTTTTTCTTGTACTTTTTATTTATTTTTTTGGTAAGTAACATTACAGAACTTTTGTCTTTTTTGGTGAATTTAATGCATCCTTGCTAAAAAAAATAAAATAATAATAATAATAAAAAAGGTGTAGGCAGTGGTTATTTAAGAAAGTACCTCTTTTATAAGGTCCTTACTGTCAGATATTTATGAACACATTTATATAGTTTGCCTATGTGTTGTCACATTTTCTATCACAGCCATGATATATCAACTGCCACACAAATAATATAAAGAAAATACATTCAAGATAAATGTACTCATTTAAACAGGTCATTTTAGTACCTAAAGATAAAAAAAAATGTCATGTATATATGCAAAATACGGTTTTGTCAAAACTACAAGTTGTCAGTTCCGTGAATGAAGCTGAAATTCAGTCTGAAAGCATCCTGGAGTCAATTTATCCGTTCATTGCTAGAATGCTGGATTTGTCAATATTGACCATATTCGACTCTGATTTATCTGATAGTGTCCAAGACAGAGTCAAGACAGAGAAGTCTAAGGTGCAGCTGATTGATTTGCATGTCAGCGAAGTGCATTGCGCTCATCTCAATAATGTACTGTAGACTGGACCGGTCTGTTAAACCAGTTCTTTTGCCATTCCTCGGCTGACTCCGTTGAGCGCTTTGTTGGCTTTAAGTAGCCTTCAGGAAAAATCTCAGTAGTTTGCACATGACTTGACAAAACTTGCCGTCATGAATCGGAACACTTTGCGGATTGTGCTTCTTGCAGTGCTGTGCTCGTTTGCGCGAAATGAAACGGTAGGCTAGAAGATTTTGTTTAGCATATCCTCCTGTGACCCAGGCATAGACCTTTTTTAGACTGATTCTATTTTAGTGAATTTCTCTGAGACCCTACATGCCAGTTTAAGCCTGGATGGCCTCTATCACAGCCATGATATATCAACTGCCACACAAATAATATAAAGAAAATACATTTAAGATAAATGTACTCATTTAAACAGGTCATTTTAGTACCTAAAGATAAAAAAAAATGTCATGTATATATGCAAAATACGGTTTTGTCAAAACTACAAGTTGTCAGTTCCGTGAATGAAGCTGGAATTCAGTCTGAAAGCATCCTGGAGTCAATTTATCCGTTCATTGCTAGAATGCTGGATTTGTCAATATTGACCATATTCGACTGATTTATCTGATAGTGTCCAAGACAGAGTCAAGACAGAGAAGTCTAAGGTGCAGCTGATTGATTTGCATGTCAGCGAAGTGCATTGCGCTCATCTCAATAATGTACTGTAGACTGGACCGGTCTGTTAAACCAGTTCTTTTGCCATTCCTCGGCTGACTCCGTTGAGCGCTTTGTAGCCTTCAGGAAAAATCTCAGTAGTTTGCACATGACTTGACAAAACTTGCCGTCATGAATCGGAACACTTTGCGGATTGTGCTTCTTGCAGTGCTGTGCTCGTTTGCGCGAAATGAAACGGTAGGCTAGAAGATTTTGTTTAGCATATCCTCCTGTGACCCAGGCATAGACCTTTTTTTAGACTGATTATATTTTAGTGAATTTCTCTGAGACCCTACATGCCAGTTTAAGCCTGGATGGCCTGTACAGAGCACATTCAGGGCTTTTCAGAGATATATCAAATATTTGGAGTTTTGATCATAACACACTTTCTCCTTGGTCGTTAAATATGACTGATATTGACAGAATGATCAAATTTAACACTCTTAGGGAAATATGATAATGCTTTGTAATTATTATTTAAATCGGACCAATTTTCAAATTGTTTGAAACATCTCAGAAAAATGTTACAGGATTTCATGAATTTTTGTTATGAAACAGGGCATAATTTTTATGTCTTCTGTAGAGGACAGCAGGACAAACATCATGTTAATCAGGCATTTTGGGTAAACACAAGTCAATAGGGAAAGAAATTATAGATCAATATGTGAGATATTCTTATGAAAATGTTGCAAAGTTATTACTCCCATTATAACACTTTTTTGTCATTATGGTTTGCCCCAAGAACACATTCATATGCAAATGAGATTCAATGTATAGATACATTGTATAGAATGGGAATTCCAATTTATAGACATTTTATGCACATAGTGCATAAAGTACAGTAGTATATCAAATCATTCTGTTATATCTTTCATAACATATAGCTGAGAATCATCTTTGTAGAAAGTTTGGTTAAAAATAGCCTGAAACCTAAAAACTGATTGGTGAATGAAAAAAATAAATAAAGCATTGTTTTTGCCGACACATGCCTTTTCATGTCTATTTATTTTATTATCATGTCTATTATTATTATTATTTTTTAATAACTTAGTCCTGGCATCCTCTACATAATAAAATATGTTCAAAAATTAAAAATGTTGTTTCTTATGCTCCAACCAATGTAATGGCATAAAAAAAATCACAAAACTTTTTTTTTTTTATGGTAGGAGGATATTTAAGACGATCATAAATATCACATTATGAATCCACAATACAACAAATGAATTAATAATTTAGCAAGGAGGTGGCTGGTTGTCACAAAGGAAGTTTATGGGCTATATATCAATAACTAAATATTTGTGTCAAAAGTTCATGTACACAAATGTGTTTTCTTTTAGCAGTTATGTTTAGCTATGGCATATTGTATTGTGTATAGCTCTGTTAAAACCTGACTTCATTGAGGATAATGTGAACTCTGGTGTTCATTGATTGAATGTTTTCCTGAGCAAAAGTTGAGATCTGTAGTCAGTCTCATTGGTATGTGCCTACACAGAACTTGTCTTTAAAGAGTAAACACAACTAGCCTCATCTCAGCTTGTTTATTTATTGCATAGTTTTGACCTGTATCATTTTATCCCTTTACTTTTTTACATGCACAGATCAATCCAGCTTTCGCTGATGAGCAGCTGCTCTGGGTCGGTGGTCAAATTGGAGAAGTTCACACCTACAGAATTCCCCTGCTGACCTTCACTACTCAGGGAAGTCTGCTGGCTTTTGCAGAGGCCCGGAAACTGTCCTTCAAAGACATCGGAGCCAAGTTCATCGCTTTGAGACGCTCCACAGACAGAGGTGTGTCAGATGTTTCATAGCTCACCTGCTGAAAAAGCAAGTATTCTGTTTTCATTCCTGTTTGCTTCTCCAACCATCTCTTTCTTCTGACACGTTCTCAGGAGTCACCTGGTCTCCCACCTCATTCATAGTGGACGATGGTTCTCTAGCAGATGGGTTGAATCTAGGTTCGGTTGTTGTGGATGAAGAGACTGGTGCTGTGATACTCATCTATGCTCTGTGTTTCCACCGTTACCACTGTAAGCCCTCCAGCACAATGATGGTGCAGAGTCTGGATGACGGGTTCACCTGGAGCGCCCCACGAAACCTTAACCCTCAACTGGGGCTCATGAGTTTTGTTCCTGGACCTGGCTTCGGTATACAGGTATTTTTTTACTTCCATGCCTAATTTCATGTCTGAGTGTTTCACTTACAACTCCCATAGACTTACATGTTAAAGAACACACAGTAAGTGGCCGGTTGTCAGGCAAAATATGATTATGATAATGATAAAATTTCATGGATGAAATCCAGTCATTGTAAAAGCAATTTGCACGCTATATGGAATTTAATGTGAGAGCAAAACATTTATCTATGCAGATTTCGCATCAGGTTCAAGATGGTCATTCACCAATAGAAAGCTAAAGTATTTGGTTTGAAGTGTGAGCTGTCCCAACCCTGGTCCTGGAGGCACCCCAACACTGCACATTTTACATTTCTCTTTTATCTGACACACCAATTTCAGGTCTTGGAGTCTCTACTAATGAGCTGATGATCTGAATCAGGTGTGTTTGATTAAGGAGACACACAAAACATTCAGTGTTGGGGTGCCTCCAGGACCAGGGTTGGGAACCACTGACCTAGACCAACTAGAAGCGGGAACAAAGGAAACAGGAACAGAAAACCAACTCAAAGTCAAACTCAAGCAAACACAAACATAACACGAGACATAAACCCTGATACAGTAAATGTAGCTGCTTTGCCATCATTTTATCATGGTTTAAAACTGTTTTGTATGTTTTGGATTTGAGAATTGAATTTAATGCGATGATCAAAGAATTGAATAGTTGTGTCAGGGGTTGTTTGCAGGCAGGGAGAGAGTTCTATTAGCACACTGTGTATTTATTAACAAACAAAACACTTGTGAGCACAAGGGAACTGAGAATAGCAAACCCAACATTTTATCTTGACAAGACAAATACTGAACTGAAACACTGGGAGGGATAAATATACACAGGGTATACAAGAACTAAACTAGAAACAAAATGATTAACTATATAAAAGAATTGAGCACATACTTCGAAAACAAGGGAACAAAGCAAACAGGAAAAGAACACAGACAGCACACAGTCAAATTAATATAAAAATAAAAGTCCTTGAACACAGAAACCTAGACAAAACAGAAGTTATTTATCATTAAGGGAGGCTGTCTCAGATTATATGCGAATTCTTCCAACAGTTGCTCAGCTGAAATATGTTTATCTTCTGGAATATTCATATGGAAACAGTTGGTGTGCTGAGACCCACACTTTGTGACGATCATTTGTTTATCAATACATGATTATTAGTTTTGTATGCTGTTAATAAATTGTAGTGATTTCTGTCATTACCTACCAAACCTAGTCTGAGTGACATAGAAAGCATCCAATTATAGTTGTTGTTTTTTTCTTGCCACTTAGCATTGGGTTTGTCTAAAATAACTGATACCACTGACTGTGCAAAATACTCGTTTGAGCAAGCGATTCTTCATGATGTGTTCATCTAATGGTGCTTACAGAAGCGTCATCCACCTGCTGTTGGGCGTCTGGTGGTGTGTGGCCACGGCAGCATCACTGGAGACGGAGTCTTTTGCATCCTGAGTGATGATCATGGAAACACATGGAGATATGGAGCTGAACTGAAGAGCATTCCCTACAACCAGCGTAAAAACAACCTTGACTTTGACCCAGACGAGTGTCAGGTATGATCAACTTTAATTATATAAATTCTATTACAGAAGTAATTGTATTGGTGGTTGTGTGGCAGAAATATGCATCAGAAGAGTTTGTAAATTCTTCAGACTTCTGTCTTGTGTTTCCTCAAAGCCAGTGGAGCTGGATGACGGCAGCATCGTGATTAATGTGCGCAACGATAAACACTATCACTGCCGCTGTCGCATGGTTGCACGCAGTCTGGATGGAGGAGAGTCTCTGCCGGTGGAGGAGCTGGTGTTTGATCGCACACTGGAGGATTCTGCGGTTGCAGCTGGAGCTTTAGAGAAGGAAGGAGTGCTTTACTTCACCAACCCAGCCAACGCTAATAGCAGTGAGCGTGATGATATGAGAAATGCATTTAGTGTTTCTCAGTCCTGGTCTTGGAGTACCACTGATCTCACTTATTTAACACACCTTGTTAATATCATAAACTCTAGAACCTGATCTAAGTGTGTCAGATAAGGGAGACCTCAAAATGTGCAGTGCTGCAGTTTTGCAATGGAAGGATTAAGAAAAACTGTATTCAATATTTTTAAATAGTAATAATACATTTTTAAAAAATGTTCATTCGGTTTTTCAGTAAACTATGCATGAGAAGTATCTATTCTGATATTTTTATATAAGACTGTTAAATCAGTGCTAGGTTGCCTGGTTTTCAAAGAACTCCTACATACAGTACTACTACTTTCGTACAATGATATTGCATTCCAGTTTGCATACTGTATGTGTCTAAATATTACTCAAGAAACATTCCCAGATTTTTCACTTTTTCTAATGGATTTTTGCATCTTGTGCATGATTTGTTTTTGTCTCATGTAGCCTACAAGACTTTGCACCATGAAAGAAGAGGAGTTTAATGGCCAAATATCCGCCTGACCAGTCACTACTTTTTATTGTTGTTGTTGTTATTATTTTATTTTTCACTTTACACAGTCTACAGTCTCTTTAATACATGTTTGCACATATCTTGATTCTATATTATGCTATTGTTTTACTCTGTGTCTCTTGTACTGTTTTGTGTTTTGAGAGAGCAGCATGAACAATACTTAATTCATGCTTATACATAATGTGAGTTACTTTTCTATTGTTGTTTTCCTCAGGAGTGAACCTCACCCTTCGCTGGTCTCTGAATCACGGTAAATCATGGGTGAAAGATACTCTGAAGATCTGGGCCGGGCCAAGTGGATACTCTTGTATGACGTCACTTAAAGGCAATGAAACTGAGGATCATAAATACATCTATGTCATCTTTGAGAAAGGCCAAAAGGACTATTTTGAGTCCATCTCTTTTGTGAAAATTGACCTGTACAGCGACCAGTGAATAAAGTCACTGATGGGCTGATTCACTTTAGAAAAAAAAGAAGCTTGATCAAGTTGCTAAAAAATTTTTTTTATATTGTTTGGTCATCCCTTTTATCTAGTTATGGTTTTGCTGAGCAGTTAAGCAAAATAATACAAATGTTAAAACTTAAAGTAAATTATATTAATATACTCTGTTCTGGGCCTTCCCCCCAAAAAATACAAATAATAAATATCACTTTCTTCAATAATAAAAATCCAAAATAAATTAAAATAATAAAATAAAAACATGATATGTATGCATTTATTTTGGTATTTTGTGGTGTTTTTATTTTGTAACCTCAAAATGACTAATTAAATTGTTATATAAAATAAGTGTTATTCTTTTTAATCTAAACTTTGAAAAAAACAACAACAACAAAAACTTTTCAGTCAATGAAAAGATTTGTCCAAACATTAGGGGGAAAAATTAAATGGTGACCTCTGCTAGGAAAAAAAAGACATGAAAATGACATTTTCTGACTATGGCCAGTAGATGGTAGCAGGATTCCATGGATTGACAGATCTCCAATGTTAAAACAAATTCCTATAAATTATACATTCAGAATGTATAAAGAAATTGTTAAAATTATTTATAAAATATATTAGTATTTTTGATGTTAGTATTTATGTTGAGCTGAGATTTTGAAATAATTACTAAGGTTGAATTTTTCGCATGGAGCCTTTTGCTTTTGTTTTTTAAGGGGATAGAAAATAGTTTGTACAGTATAAAAACCATTATGTGTCACACCCCTGTGGACTGTCTTGTATGGTTTCTCCCTCTGTGTCCTTATTTGGTTGTTCCTGTTCTCATTATTAGTTAATCACCTCATTGTGCTCACCTGTCTGCCCCTCGTTATCCACCTTATATCAGCTCCTGTCCATTGTGTTCGAGTTTGTCAGTTATTGTTACCCTGTGCGTGTGCTCCTACCCTCTCGTGTAATCATTAAAGTGTTCTGGTATCCTTCATCCTCGTCTTCCTGCCTGTTCTCTGGCGAAGCCACAGCGGGACATTATGTCTATGGAATGTCCTCATAAAACATTAAAGCTGCACTGTTGATTTGATTAAATTCAGAAAACAGGACACAGCTAGTCAAAACACATTAGAAAAAATACTATAACCATTTATTTATTGAGAACATTCTGCCACACACAAAAAAAATGATATACTGTATATATATTTCCTAGTTCTCAGTTTTCAAATGAGAACTAAATTTACAAATTACTACTACTAGTAATAGCAAAAACGACAACAAAATTACAGCTAAACAATGGCCCCAAAAAGTATTTGGACACTTAACCCACAACTAAAAATGTATGCTTTTTGGATTATATAGCAAAATATTAAAGCAAATGGCATTTAGTTGAAAGAAATAGAGCCCAAACACACTTTTAAGTCAAAACATTGTTTATTTTTTTAAGTTTCAAAATATGAAGCAATACACGTATTGTTCAAAATCACTTAATAAGTCATTAATGTTTCAAATCTGTTCTAAATGCGTAAAGCAGGGGAAAGTAGAATATCGGTGTTTGCAAGTCTAATCAGAGAACGGCCCCAAAGCACTCAAGACATCAGACTGTCTTGAGTATCATATATTACAGCATTAGCATCCTCTAATTCAGATACGTCACACTATTTCCAATTTTTTTTAAACTCTTTTGTCAGTGTTTCTTCCTCTTTTTAAGGCAAGTTCTTGAGTGTTTTCATGATGTGTTTTCTGAGTGTCCCTCTTTTTCTTCAGGTCTCACTGCTTAAGAATTGCCTATTTGTTTCTGTCTTAATGTTAATTGTTCATGTTCAAGCTTATGTACAGTAGTTTAATCTTCAAAGATATGTCAAAATTACCATCCTGCCCTAAAAGGTTAATTCCACTCACACGACCAAATTTGTTTAAAATGACTGCATTACCCCAAAGGGCTTAATTATCATACTCTCAAAACTATCTTTATTGCCACACCATTTGGATAAGCAACATTAATCAATAGTGTGAGAAGAAAACATAAAAGAAAAGCGGCGTAAGCGATTCAATTCTATACCTTGCTATTTCTGGAATGTTTTGGACATTTTTTCCCAAAAATATAACAGGGTGTTTCTAATGAATATATCCAAAAGGCCTATGTAAGCGTAAACTATTAATTGCCTGATTTTTTGTGTGGGCTTTCAGGATTATTGGGAACCAACCCTGCTCCACAAAGGATTTCTCGCAGTAATTTTCCAGATCTTTTTGGTATCTGCGCACAAACCACCTCCAGTAAACCCAAATAGGAAAAGGTATGAATACCGGGCTCCAAAACCAGTCATCATGAACTTCTCTTGCTGTTCTGTATTTATGCATTTATATGGTATCCACTTACCTGATGATTTAAAACTTTTATTACTTGCCACTGCATCTGAGCAAAAATCTCTACATAGATTATTAGTTTCATAGTAATAGTGCCCATTGATTTCAGTTATTCTGTGCGAAAGAACACTGTGATCTCCATCACGGTTTTCAGTTTGGGTGCAGGTGGCTTTCCAGAACGGATTCTGAACTCAACAGCACTGACAGAACTGGTCAATCAGAATCTCATCCGGTCTGTCCTTGAGGTCCAGTTTTTCATAAAACATATCTGTGTTGAACTCTTTGCTCGTGTCGGGCATTAGAGCAGGAGGTTTTGTTGTTATCACTTCTTTGAGAAGGTTGAAATCATCAACATCATCATGTTTGACTCCAATGAGGTCTTTTTTAGAGAATATCAGCACATCTGAGAGCTGCTGTGTGAAAGTCTTCAACCACAAATCAACATTTCCACTGTTTGTTTGAACATGTTCAGTAGATTTGTGTACAGCTTCCATGATCTTCTTCTGCAGGAGTTCAGTGTTCCTCTTCATCTTGGGCAAAACACTGTCACTGAAGTTTTGGGTCATGTACTGACTGACTTCATCTCTGATGAAATTCTCAAAGTGCTCTCTGGGATAATTAAGGTAGTCCATGTACGCAGAAAAATTCTCCTCTTGTGCCAGAAACTTCAGGATGTGTTTCTCCAGATTTATTCTGCTTCCATTCAATGATCTATGGTTTAGTCTAATATCGTCTATCAAATCTCTTGCAGACTTTGTGTAGACACTCTGCTCAATGCGCTCTTTAAGTTTCTGACATAAGATCTCACCGAAAATGACAGATGATGCAGCTCCTTGAAGGTGTTTCTGGAAAATACTGTAATACTCTTCTTTCTTCTTCCTCAAAAAGAGAACACGGTCATTGGCTTCTCTAAACAGTCTGTGTTGCTGAGTGAATGTCTTGTTTGCTCTCTTAAAGATAGAGCAAATCAAGTCAATGGAGAACTCATTCTTGAACACATAGTTCACTGACTACCTTGATGTAATCTACGAGTTGTTGAATGCAGCTGACACTGAAGCCCATTTTTGCAATGTTAAATTACATGATCTTTTTGTCTATTTGCTGGGCAACATCTGTGACATTACCAAACCTCTCTTATAGCTGCATTGATGGCATTTTTTAAACGTCCTGTAAATCCACTGGATTTCTTTAATTGTACATAATCTGAATAACTTTGCACAGAAAAAACATCCCTGCATTCATTGTTCTCCCTCCAGGAGTCTACAGGAGCACTTATATAGATGTCACTGAGGAGTAGTTTCACTTCTCTCAGTATGTCAGTGTCTTTGATTGGAGTATCTGTGATGATCTTCTTCAAACACTCCCTTTGAGCTGCTCCAAACGGCTGACTTATGGCCTATGTCGCTCAAAACTGCACTTCTTTTGGCTTTAACATTGGTCAAACGTGTAGGTGACTTTCAAGCACTGTCAGTCAGCACTTCTTGTCTTGAGTTTGGGCCTAACGACTGTAAGGTCGTTCTCTAGCCGCATAGTGGTTATGTACCCAAGGTGTTCTCAACTCCGTTCAGAGTCCAGGTTATTTCCCTGTTAGCACTCCCCGTGATGGATGGTGAGCAGGGTCCTAACTTACTGTGCCCTGTTAGGGCACTCAAAATATACTTGGAGTGTTCTGGATTGTTCAGACAATCAGAGCAGCTCTTTGTGTGCTTTGGAGGCCCCTCAAAGGGCTGCCATGCAGCTACAAAGTAGAGAATATCTCTCTGAATAGTAGATGCTATAGCCCTGGCTTATGCTGCAGTTGGCTTGCAATGCCCTATAGGGGTGAGGGCCCATTCCACCAGAGGAATGGCCTCCTCCTGGGCGTGGTCCAGTGGGATCTGTATCGGGGAGATTTGTACGGCTGCCGGCAGGTCATCACTGTCTACCTTCGCGAGATGTTACAATTTGGACATCCCTGCAGGTGCGGATCTTATCTGCTTAAATCTACCCATTCCCCCTTGAGTGGAAGGGCTATGTTAAGCAGACCTCAGATTAATGACTCGGGTCTATTCTTTGGCTCAGGCTTACGAGGCCCTCTAACGGGTGATCCTGAGCTGGGCTTGTAGAGCAGGCTTAGTTCTGCGTCTGCTCATAGCACGGCGCTGCTGGATGCGTTCTCCTAGCGTCAGCGACGCAACGAGAGTGACTGTTCGATAGGGATCGCTTCAGTTACTAACATATGTCGGTGGTTACTAATCGATGACTGTCGCTTCAGTTGAATGATTCTGATGATATGGCACTCTGAGCCGGCTTATATAGCCATCGGCTCCTCCCCTTTTGGCGGCAAGAGCGCCATTGGTTTGTGCAGCTACAAAAACATGAACAAATCAGGCTTCAGTATCAGAGTAAACAGGAGTTTCCCCTAGTGTCAGCGACGCAACGCTTGTTCCCTTATCTCAGGGAACCGAGGTTACGTTAGTAACCGGAGCATTTTCCTGTCTGTGGAATCATGTGCGCCACAATGCATAACAGACTCATTTGAAATCTACTCAGAATGCTGTATTTTAAAGCACTGTTGATGAGACCAAACATCGCAAAAGGTTAGACAGCGTTTATCAGTCCCAGTTAGATAGACAGTTCAGTCCCGGTGACTGTAAATGTGACTGAGCAGTAAACAGACTGCTGTAGTTTTGTCTTTGTAACTCAAGTATTAAACAAATGTTTTCTTAGCAGTAGCACCCCATTATTTTTGTCAGTCAATACTGTATGCTAAAAGACACCATTATCTACTGTAAAGTTGCATGAAT